GCAGGAATGAAAAATTCGAACACCTACAAAGGCAGTTTTATGGGTTGAACTGTGTCTACCCACCTACCCCACCCCACCCCCCAAAAAAGATACATTAAAGTCCTAATCACCAGTATCTCAGTTGTGACCTTATTTAGAGATAGGGTCTCTACAGAGGTAATCAAGTTAACATGAGGTTATTAGGGTGGGCCCTAACACAATATGACTGGCTGTCTTATAGAAAGGGGAAATTTGAACACAGAGACAGATACACAGGGAGAACGCCATGTGAAGATGAAGGCAGAAATTGAGGTGATGCTTCTACAAGTCAAGGAATTCCAAGCAAACCACCAGAAGCTTATGGAGAGGCATGGAACAGATTCTTCTTCACAGCTCTAACAAACTAATACAGACAGGCATGTAAATGTAAATGACTAAAACAGGAAATAGAGAATAGCTCCCTGTCCAAACCAAAGTGATGATTAAGGAATGGTGAGAACTGGAGCACTGGAAAGCTTATGCTCAGCCTAATGCGTGCAACTGCTCGGTGGTTCACAGCTTCCTTTCCCCAAGCCCCCCCACCAAAAATAATCAGTTATCAAGATTTCAATGTTAAATATCCTGCTTTTTAAAAGATGCAACTAATTTAACTTTAAAATGTTGCATGGACCATATTCAACACTTCTTTGGGCAAATTTGGTCCACTTACATATAGCCTGTTATTTGTCTTCTGAAGACAATCAATATCCAAAAACAGATACCAAGTCTCCTTGAATGTTGCTTTTCTACAGACTACTTGCACTAAGATTAGCTGGGGAGAAAATACACCGAGAAGATCACATGACATGAGAAGGCAACGGTTTCTAAAATTCTGGGCTTTGAATCTGCATTATGGTTACATGTAATAAATGTACATATTTTTTAAGTTCTTTACTAAAAACAATTTAAGAGGATGATGCCTCACTGACTTAAATCATAATAAGTCTGACAAAGGATGTGGGTACTTCAGAACTGTTACCCAAACACTACAGCGGCAAACTCCACGGAAAATTATGTCAAAACAGAACAGTATAACAGAAATAGAAAAATTCACCTTTCACACTTACAGGTCTGCTTGTGTCAACTTTGATGTTTTATAGTGTATACCTTTGCATTCTGAGAAAGAAGATACTCAGCTTTCATGGAAGCAACATATACTTTCTGGAGCAGCTAATTCAAAGTTTTTATGAATATTTACTCTCACTTTGTCATTCTCCCAGGATATTATAAAACATTTGCCTGGAATAGTGATTCCCAAATACCAATCTGTTTGGCCTGCATTAGAATCATGTAGGGTGTTTAGTAAAATCACAGATCCTGGGCCCCACTCCAGATTTAACAAAATACCATCTCCAAGGTGGGGAGCAGGAGTTTGTAGTTTTACAAAGTTACTAAATCACAATCTCCAAGGATTAAATTAAATTGAAAGCATTCCTATGGCATAGCCATTTCAGTTCTCCATAAAAAGGAGCACAAAGATACAGCAACAGGAAATGAGCAACAACCTGAATGTCTGTCATAGGTGTCTGATTCAAGAAGAAGTTCCTTGTAATGGAAAACTTACTATGCAGCAGTTTAAAAAAATGTGATAGAGTTTTATGTATTAACATGATAGCTCTCCAAGAGTGAAAAATGCAATCTGCAGAACAACATATATAGCTGGATGCCATCTACATTAAAACAAAACAGTACATTTCTCTCCAGACCTACATATGTAGGTAAATTCACCCATGCGGTCTATAGGAAAAGACTCCAAACTGAGCGCTGTGATTAATTCCGAGGAAGGCACTAAGAGAAGCCCTCGCAGTTAAAGGGTACTTTATTTGTAATCTCTGATTTGTTTATAATGAAATTAGATGCTTCTATTACCCAAGGCATTAAACATTAATTAGGTTTGAGGAGGTCACATCTTATCTGCATGTCTGGCCACGTATGCAGAGAATACTATCTTAGGTGAGTCAGATTCTGAGATCAAAGTACAGTTTATATTTCCTGTGAAAGTCTCTTAAATGACCAGTAGATATGCTATACCTGATTTTAAGTATATATTCCTGTATGGAATTCCCTGTGTAGGTGTGTGTGTGCATAAACATATCATACATGAAACATGTATAGTGCATGCATAATGGATCACATGGCCTCAGCTGGCTCTCAACTCCTCATAAAAACGGCTTCCTCATTGAACAGAACTTGGGGGTCACATGGCTCTTCGAGGGTCACCTAGTTCTAGGGCTGACCCCAAAGAAGTTACTGGCTTGTGTATTGTAAAATACAGTAACGGTGTCTTTAGATCAGCGTCAGTGTGGTCAGGGTCAAGAATGTGGGAATGGTGTACCGCCTGTCTCCCATCTCCTGCCCGCTCCTACGCTCCAACTCACTAGGCAGAATAAAAGACAACTCCAAGAAGGTTTAAGCTGCCTCTCCCAGACTTCCTCGTGCTCCTTTGTGTGATGGGTGGAGATCTGCACTGATATGTTAACCATGAGAACACAGAGCTCAGGTGTAGAATTAATAATACGTGTTCCTTGATTCCCCAGGATCTGGAAATAGGGGTGAGGAGGGTAACAAAGACCATAGAGAGAAGAAGAAATTCCACTTTCCACTGATAGCAAAGAGGAGGAAAGCACAGGTTCTCCCTCTAATGGCCAATTCCTCAAATCTGAAAAAGAAACGGGAGCCGGGGAGGCAGTTTCAAGTACCTTAAGGAGAAGATCTGGTATTCGTGCCATTTTAATTATAGGGCCAGTAGAGAAGTCGATTGAAGTCACAGGAGCCAGGGCAAAAAACATTTTAATCTTTTTGGCCAGCTCCGGGATCCGTGAAAATGCTATAAAACCTGCAGGAACAAAGGAAGGTAACAGGAATTCCATCTTCTGGGACTTTCTCTGAAAAGGCAAAGGCTGTTGTGCATGATGCTCTCTAGTGGCAACCTGAGAAACATGCCAGCAAACACTTGAAATGGGGGTTTCTGAACTATGCACAGAAATGCTGAGTTTGACTAAACTAGTAAATCAAGTATTTGTTAAGTGCTTGTTTCCATTTTCAACCTAGATATGCACTGGAAAAAATCTAGGTTGCTAAAACTAGATGTTTCCTATTCCTTTAATAAGGTAAACCAAGCTAAGGAAAGATTATATTTCTAACAGCTCAGCCCCACCAGCCCCATTCCCCCAATGCTCCTCCCCCATCCCTAAGAACAATTTACAGAGGTATTCGAATCAATCGCCAAGGACCAAGAGACACACGTTTAGAGAGCCCTAGCATCAAACTATCTCTTCTCTTCCTCTCAGGTCTCTTCTCGCCTTAAACTTGGCCCTAGGATGTCAGTTTAGAAAGCAGTCGGGCAAAGGACATTAAGTAGGCAAATTATAGAAGAAGGAATGTAAATGAAGAAAAATGCTAAACTTAATGAATAAGAAAGGCAAATGTATCCATGTTACTTTTTGTTTGTGGCCTCTCAAACTGGCAAAGGGGTAAGGCAATGTAACCATATATATCAAGACGCTTAAAAGCATTTATACATCTCATATAGTTAATTCTCCTTCTAGGAATGTATTCTAAGGAGATCATGTGATACGAACACAAAGGTATTAGTCATAGTAAACACTAAAAGGGGAATTATATAAATTATGTGACAGGTTCCTAGTTCCCAGTCAGAGGAAATCTTGTTCTCTAGAATTATGAGTAATTTTTATTTTCTTTAAACTTTGATAAATTTTCTATTTTTGTTTACAATGAACACACATTACTCTTATAGTCAGCATAAACAAAAAATGCATATGACTTTGAACAACTATTTAAGTTATAACATGGCATCTTTGTAGTTAGTTTTATTCCACTTAACTTTAAAATTTAAAAGTCAGGGTACTTTCTTGTTTGCTTTTTGGAAGTCCCTGAACTTATAAATCTTCTCGTTTTCCACCCTCTCACATCCTCATATTGCTGAACTAGAAAAATACGTAATAGGCTGTGGCTTATATTAAGTCCTTTAAATTCAAGAGAACTATACAACATTAAAGTCAGAATTTCCGGAGAAGATGAAATATTACCCAAATTCCTTGTTC